CTTTATATATACAATATATTTGAAATATATATTATTTCTGTCTCTTTGGCTATGCATCTGTATTGCACTTTCTCCTCCACCACCCTTACCTAGTCTCTAAAGTCCAACTTAAAAGACACCTACTAGAGAAAGCCTCCCCATTTCTCTATTAGATAAGACCTTTCACATCCCCAAAACATAGACCCACATTCAGTGTAATTGATTTTAATTGGTGGTGATTATGGGCTCATTCTTATTCAACCCATTTTGTGAGCGTGTACCCTGTCTCTAGCTTTGCACTAAGCACTGGGGATACAGGGCTGAATGAGATAAACATCTCTGGACATTATAAATCAGTTAGGGGAAGACATTCTCACCTCCCACCCTGATCTTAGAAGCAGTTCAGGTGTCTTGGACTCTTGGGGGGGTCCCCTGTCTGTATTAAGCTGTGGTGGGCAGGGTAGAAGGGGATGTATTAGTCTTCTCCCATTTGTATAGGGTACACCAGAGTATTGTGACTTCTTGTGGCATCCACTCTTACGAGATAATGGCACACCACAGCACCTGCAGAGGACATGGAGCCCCTGCTGTTGGTGAAAATCAACTCCTCTTGACCAGAGTTTTTCAGCTTCAGCACTACGGACATTGTAGACCAGTTGATTCTTTGTTGCGGGGGAGGGGGGGAGCGGGGACGGGAAGGGGGCTGTCCTGTGCAACCAGCAGCCTCTTTGGCCTCTGCCCACTGGATGCCAGCACCATCACCCTTTTCAGATGTGACAACAGTAAATGTCTTGAGATATGGCCCAATATCCCTTGGCAAGCAAAATCAGCCCTGGCTGAATATAACTGGGACTGTTTCTACTTATAGAAATGAGGCTTCAGGAAAATATTAAAACCCTCTACAGATATCCCTAGGACTACTATACAGAAAAAGAATAGAGATAGAAATTTTAACCTTAGCCAGAGGGTAAAGCTGGAACTTACAGAAAGTCAGTCTTGACTTAGAGGAAACAGTCTTAATTTTAGGATCGCCTTAAGTTGCCAATGTACTGTGGTAGAATGGTGAATTCCCAGTACTCGCTGCATTTATGCAGGCTTACATACACTTCATTGTGGGCATGACTGGGGATTTCAGTATTCTGAGATTTAGTGTTTGTATGTTTTCATATTTTTTTCATGTTTTGTATGTTTGTATATTGTTCCTAAAGTGGCTTGTGAAGATATAGAATAATTCATTGGGGATTTAGAGGAGGTAGTAAAGTAATAGTAATGAGGGTAACATCCTAGCCCTTGAGTCATGCTGCCTGGGCTAGATATGGTGTTTACCATCCATGGGACCTTAGATAAATCCTGACTCTTCTGTGTTTTTTTTGCTCACCTGAGAAATGGGTACATCCTATCTCAAAAGTAGTTGTGAGAGAATACAAGTAGAGTCCTTATTAAGGAAATGGATAGTACCTTTTATTCTTAACTCAGGCAGGCTGCTTTGCCTGACCTCCAATTTGCAAAAATTTTTTAAAATATTTATTGTTGAAAGTATTACATACTAGTATGTCTTTTTTTCCCCATTAACCTTTTCTAGTCCATCTTCACCCCTGCTCCAGGCCTTCACCACCCTACTGTCTGTGTCCTTGAGTTATGCATATATATGCATACAAGTTTTAACTAGCTACTTCTGTCTATTGGTGTTATGCATGTATTTTGGGGGGCAATTCATGGTAGGAAAATATTTTTCTTACTAGAAAGGGAAATAGAATTCAAATATAGGAACTAAAAAGCAACCATAATAGATAAAAATAAAATGATCAGATTTTTAACTGGTCTTTGACTTATAGATAAAAGTTAGAATTGTAAGGAAGCGTCATTAGTCAGCACTAGAATTCAATTTTTATTAACCATTTTATTCAGTAATATTTATTTTCATTTACTTAATTTGGATTCTTGAATACAACTTTCAAAAAGATGTTTGTTTTTCTAGATTCTTTGTTATAAAGCAAAGATTAAAGAGAAGATATTAGGAGGCTTATTTAGGGCAGCTGCCTCAGGGTGCCAAGACCTTGGGAATAATCTTGAACCCTTTCTAGCATCAGGTTATTTTCTCACAATCTTTGCTATTCCTTGGCCTGTAGATGCATCATTCCAATCCTCTGTCCTCACGTGGCCATCTTCTCTTTGTGCATGTCTGTCTTTGTGTCCAAAATTCTTTTTTTGTGAGGATTATCAGTCATTTTAGATGAAGGCCACTCCAATGACCTCATTTTAATTTGGTTAGCTCTATATATACCCTATTTCCAAATAAGGTCACATTCCAAGCAACTGAGGTTTAAGGCTTAAACATCTCTTTTGGAGGAAGGGGGCACAGTTCAACCCATAACAGCAACTTAAGCAAAAAGAGATTTTATTGGAAACATGTAAGGTGGCTTATTAAATTAAAAGAAGAGTTACAGAATGAAGAAAAGAAAGGGCATGAGAATGGCTTCCCAAAGACCCAAGGAAAGGAGCTCCTCTCAGCCCCGCCAGGAGCTTGCTGCAGGAATAGGGTAGCGTCCGTGACTATATCATCTTTGCATCGCTCTGCATGATGTCTAGAATCTCAGGAGACACTGATTGGGTGACTCCTTGGTTGGAAATGTCAGAATCCGATAATTAGCTTTCCCAACACCACATCAACAGTCGAGATAATTCCCCAAAGACATGGGATGCTATTGCCAAGAAAAAAAAAAGAAGAAGGATGCTAAATGGACACAACAAAATGTCTAATCTAGGTCCTCCAGCAGAGAATGAGAGAGGGAGCAAAATATGGAAAAAAATATATTCTCATACACACCTAATTCGCCATCTCTATGTTAATAATAAGCCTCTAGTGATTATTGGTATAGCCATTCAGAAAATAAAATTGCCACTCTGATATAACTTGCTTTTTTTATAAGTCAAGAGCATGGAGGGAATTCCAGATAATCATCATTCTTCTACTACCAAGTTATATTTAGTTAGAGTTGGCTACCATGTCAGTTTCACACACAGGAAAAAAAAATGAGTTTCTCCCCAGCTGGCATGGCTCAGTGGTTGAGCATTAACCTATGAACCAGAAGGTCATGGTTTGAATCCCAGTCAGGGCACATGCCCAGGTTGTGGGCTTGATCCCAATGTGCGACATGCAGGAGACAGCCGATCAATGATTTTCTCTCATCATTGATGTTTCTATCTCTCTGTCCCTCTCCTTTCTTCTCTGTAATCAATAAACAAACAAACAAACACTCAAAAAAAGAACATTTATTTGAAAAGAAAAAAAAATGAGTTCCTGACTAATTCCCTCTTCCATTCTTTGGGCTCTTGTTCCTTGCACTCTATTGCAAGTCAGGACACCCACTGTCTCTTTGACCACAGAAAGCACAGTGTAGCCAGTTGCTCCCTGATGCCTTAGAAGGAAAAGTATAATCCTTGCCCCCTATCTCCCAAAGCACCCACTATTCATGCTTTAACATTGACCTCTCTTTCTCATTCCACCCTCTCCAATTTATTCCACCACCACCTCTTCAAAAATATTGCCATTGTTATAGTAGTTATGCTTTGAATTAAGAACAGAAGAGGTGGGGAAAATTAACAGTGAACTACATGAAATGAGTGGTATTAGGGAGTAACTCATTTATTTGGTGTAAAATCTTAAAGAATAGGCTTAGCCTTCAGGCTGTCTTTTTTACACTTATTCTTTAGATTCTTGCCAAGACAAATAGCTTATAGATCTACTGTGGTATTTTGCCTGTTGTCAAATTCCATGAACTGCCTGGACATGGAAGTGATGATCTCTAAGGTTGGAATGGCATGCAAGAAACAGTCTTGGAGTTAGAGACTTGATCATTGAGTGGGGCAGGTTGCATCTCTAAGATATTAGCATAGGCAGAATACCGACTCAAAGGAAGATGAGCAGTGAGCCCTGTGAGGAAGATAAGACCTGATAAAGGGGGTGAGGTGGTCTTTATCAATAGGCAGGAAATGATGAAACAGGAAATATTTGAAGTTTTGCATTCTTAGAGAAACAATGAAATAGTCCAGCCCAGAAGTAACACAAGTCAACTCTGTTCACAACTCATTGACCAGACCAGTCACTTGGCCCAACCACAAGGAGGCTAGGAAGCACATGTGCCCAGAAAGAGGGACTGGGCATACTTAGCAAACAGCAGTCATGACTTCCTCTTTTCAAAATGCCAACTCCAAGTCCTTCCTCAGCAGATCCTTGATAGCTGCATTTAAAATAGGCCTCCTCGAGTGAGGAGGAACAATATTGGCTAGAACAACATTGGCATGAAATTCAGTTGAATTTCATGCGGGGGAAAGGGTGGAATCCCTGGACCACATAGTGAGAAACATTGACTTAGCATCACTTTAGTATAGGCAGGTGATCAAGAGACTAGTGACAGGTCTGAGACAGTTCTTAGAGCTCAGATGTCGGGCCATGCATGAATCACCTCAAGTTGTTATCAAAGAGGACCACAGATGCCAGGACATTGGGGCCCAGAGAGCTGGAATGAAGTTCCTCAAACGCCCAGGCCTGAAAGTATTATTGGAACTGTGCCTGAGACAGAGCAGACCCTTAGCTGTGTGCCCAGCTTCTCAGGCATTAAGAGTGGAAGAGGGATAGGGAGCTGGCCCTAGGAAATGATTCTCAGATGTGATCAAAAGTTGATATTAAATTAGCAGAAACTCATTGGCCAATATAATATATTTTATTGTATAATTGCTGTTTTCTTTCCTCTGTTATTTTCTCTTGTCTCTCCCCTTTCTTCTTCCCTTCCCTGTTACCCACTATACCCTTCTCCCCCATATTTTTTCTCTTCTTTCTTCCTTATTTTTATTTTCAACTTCCCCCTCCAATTTTTCTCTTTCCCAATATTTCCTTTTTGTATCTCCCTTCTTCTCCCCATTCCTCCTCTCCCCCCCCCCCATCTCCCATCAACTATTCTCCCTCTTTTTCCCTCTCATTCTTCCTCTCCCTTGGCATCCCCTCCTCATTCTCTCTCCAGGTATTATGCCATCTGCTGCCAGCCTTTGGTCTATAGGAACAAGATGACCCCTCTGCGCATCGCGTTAATGCTGGGAGGCTGCTGGGTCATCCCCATGTTTATCTCTTTTCTTCCTATAATGCAAGGCTGGAACAACATTGGCATAATTGATTTGGTGAGTAGACCCCACACAGATCCCATTGGCCGATTCACTTTGTTTGCTTGGGCTTCTACATAAACCAACAGTATCGAGTTGGGTGGATATTCTGAGAAAGATTCTGACAGTGGTCTGCGCCATGACAAGAATAACAACAGAAAAAGCAAGCTAGCATTTTTGAATGCTTGCTGTATAGCAGAAAGTATGTGAAATACTTTACCTATAATCCTGCTAGCGTCCTTTGCTTTCCTCATTTAGATGAGAAAATTCAGACTCAGAGAGGGGAGGTAACAGGCCCACTAATCTGTCTACTAAATAGCAGAACAGGTGTGTGAAACTTAGCATTCTGACTCCAGTGCCTAAGAGGTCTTCATCCTATGTTAGCAGTGTTTGAGGCTTTCAGTGATCCACAGAAAACGTGTTATGTGAGTGGAAGCTTTTGGAGAGCAAAGAGATCCATGGACAGGAGTTGAGAGCTGAGCCTTAAGCCCAGTGCTCTCACTGACCCACTTCCTGCAAGGCTGTGTGATCCATTGGTCCCCAGTGGAAAACAGTGTCTTCCAGGGTTTAGAGGAATAACATGATGGCACTGTGTCAGGCATTTACACCCTCAGAATAGGTGGTTTTTAAGAGTCGTCCAGCTCTGACATACTATTTTTGCAATACCAAATTTGTGACTAAAAGCTGTGGTCTGGATTCATTACCAGGGCTATACATTCCCTAAGGAAGGAGTCAGGTTGTCACTGTAAAGTTGATCCCAGGACCATCTCATGGTAGGAAGGGGAAGGGAGAGGACAGATTGAGAGCAAGCTCTGGCCAACAGAACCAGTTAGAGTAGGAGTTGCCTCTTCTTCTCTTCACCCCATTTCTAGCCCCTAATCTTGCCTTGTTCTTTGTCCAGGAAGGAATACCCAAACCAAGGCTGGGCGAGGATTTGCATGTGGTATGTCAGAACAAGAGTTCCCAGGGCTTCTGAAAGCAATGCTGGGGACAGAGGGGTGGAGAAGTAAAAGGGGACTCATACAAGGGAGACTGTATGGATATTTTCTTGAATTCTATCCCTGTTCTTTCAAATTTTCAGTTTTATCATTCTTGGGGAGAAATGAAACTCAAATTTCCAAAAACCAATATAATAATGGCCAACAAATGAACACTTCTTATGCACCTAGCCCCGTGTTAATAGAGTCACTCTTCTTAGGAACCTCACTCAGGTCCCACAACAAGGCTATGTAGATCCTATTATTATCCTCAGGAAATGAGGATGGGAGAGGTGACGTTATTAGCTAAAGTTACATTGGTCGGAAGAGGTAGACACTATATCTAAGCCCAAGCTTACTGGGATCTAGTGTATGTGCTCTTCTTGTCTGTACTAAACTTACTCCTTAATGGAGAAAACCTGTGGAAGCATAAGCTTTTGTGCATCAGAAATTTTAATAAGGGCACAGCACTTTTACCTTCGTATATAGTCTTTTTAAGGGAAATAACCTAGCAGATTTTGCCCATTTATGAGTGAAGCATGCCCTATTTACTTTGTGGAACTGAAAGGTGTGGCATCTCCTTAATGTCAACATGCCTAGTATTTGTGCTATGCTGTTGTGACTGCATTTTATAACTTTCCACTCATTTGCACATTGAATCTACCCAGAGAGAAGCTAGTAGAACCCACGTGTTCACAATAAATATATAGCTGATTCTCGTTATTTGCAGTAATTAGTTGCTATAAACACTGAATTAGCAAATCCTAAATCTTTGCTCCTAGGAGAAATACAAGATAGGTTTTCTCAAAGTTTCTGGTCACAATATTTTCACCAACCAATCAATACATAATATATGCTGTGTGTAAGAGAGACCCATGAAATATAAGATGACAAAAAATGAAAATAAAATAATGGAAAAATGTCATATACAAACACTAACCAAAAGAAAGTTGGTATAGCTATACTATTATCACTGATAAAATAAATTTAAGGCAATTTAATTTAAAATAAACTTAAATTACTTGAGATAAAATGAGAAATTTCATAATGATAAAATGTCAATTCAATAGAAGGATATACTATAACCCTATAATAGAGTATAGGACAAGACACTAAATTATTTGTGTATTTCATTACACAAGTAATAACATATGTGTGTTGAATAAGTATTTTTTATTCACATCTTCATTTATGTGTAATACTCACACTGGATGCAGGCTGGCATCAGGAACAGAAGTGGCAATTTGTCACACAGCTCTCTTTAGCCAAGGGCTATTCCCAGAGAAGGCTGATAATTAAGAGCTCAGCATGCAAAATTCATAATTGGGAGAAAAGACCTTCAATCTTTCAAAAGGAATCTAGTGTACCACAGCATCCAATGCAAGTGAGGAATGCAATGCAATCAATGTAATTCACTGGATTAGGGAAAACCCTCATTGTTGCAAAAAATGCACTGACAAAATTCAATATCCATTTATGACTTGTTCAAATTCATAAAATTCAACTTTCTCAAATAAAAAGCATTGACAAAAAACTTACAGGTATCACACTTAGTAATAAAATATCAAAAGCTCCCTTCCTAAAACTAGGAATGTAACAGTGGTGTCCACTCATACCACTTTTATTCAGAATTATACTGGAGGACTTGTCCAGTTCGATAATGCAAGAAAATATGTTATTAAAAATAGGAAGAAAGAAAGGAAACTGTCATTAGTTACAGATCACATGAGTGTGCATGGAGAAAATTCAAAAGAATCTAGAGATGAGATATTAGTAATTAATTTAACAAAATTGTTGGCTACATAGTAGCCACTATACAAAAAAAAAAACAAAACAAAACAAAACAAAAAAAACACATTGAATTCTACCTCCTGGTAACAAACAATTAGGTTTTATAATTTTAACATGGAACCATTTGCACTAAAATAAAAAGTCAAATACTCAGGAACAAACCTAACAAAAGATGCATAAGACATTTACACAAAACATATTAAGTAATACTAAAATAAAATTTTAAAGATTTCCATAAATGGCAAGGATTATCATGCTTGTGAATGGGAAGACTTAACATTGCAGAGACATCTGTTTTCCTCAATCATTCTGTTTTAACTCTCATTGAAATCCTTAAAGATTTTTATAGTAATTGATAAGCTAATGATCAATTTTATTTGGGAAATGTTGAGATTATAAGAATAGCCAGCACATTCTTGAAGAAAATGAGTCACAGTTTGAAGACTTTTACTAACAAATCTACTGTGTGAAAGCATACTGGACGGGAGGACAGGCAGGGCCCCACTATTGGCTGGGTAGATAGAATGAAGAGTGATTCTGTCCTTATTTTATTTCTACTCTTTACTGGGCTTTCAGCCCCTTTGGATAGATAAGCCCTCTGAGCCCTGGGATCTGGTCGTATTCTATTTCCACCATCAAGGTTCTAGGTGCATTAGGTTTATTTTTAAAAAAAGAAGAAAGCTATGCTGATAAATCTTTTCTTTCCTTTTTTCTTAATTCGTTTATTCCCTTTTTCCATCCCTGTTCCCCTCTCCTTCAATTTCCCCTTTTCTGTTCTTTTTCCTCCTTTTTCTTTTCTTACAATTTTTCTCATTCCCCTCCTACTTTTTCCTCTTCAATTTTTTCTTCCCCTTCTCTCTCCCTCTCTCCCTCCATCTCTCAGATAGAAAAAAGGAAGTTCCCTCAGAACTCTAACTCCACGTACTGTATCTTCATGGTCAACAAGCCCTACGCCATCACGTGCTCCGTGGTAGCCTTCTACATCCCGCTTCTCCTCATGGTGCTGGCCTATTACCGCATCTATGTCACGGCCAAGGAGCACGCCCAGCAGATCCAGATGTTACAACGGGCAGGAGCGCCCTCGGAGGGCAGGCCCCAGCCGACAGACCAGCATAGCACTCATCGCATGCGGACAGAGACCAAAGCAGCCAAGACCCTGTGCATCATCATGGGCTGCTTCTGCCTCTGCTGGGCTCCGTTCTTTGTCACCAACATTGTGGATCCGTTTGTAGACTACACGGTCCCCGGGCAGGTGTGGACAGCTTTCCTCTGGCTCGGCTATATCAATTCTGGATTGAACCCCTTTCTCTACGCGTTCTTGAATAAGTCTTTTCGACGTGCCTTTCTCATCATCCTCTGCTGTGATGATGAGCGCTACCGAAGACCTTCCATTCTGGGCCAGACTGTCCCCTGCTCAACCACAACCATTAATGGGTCCACACACGTACTAAGGTGAGTGCCTAGGGGCTTGGTAGGTTTGGTTTATCTGTGTGAGTCAGAAAACTGGGTCACTGTCCAGTTTTCTGTCTCCTGACAGGTTATGCTTGAAAATCTGTGCAGTGTTTGCAAAGACGAAAGAAAATCTACCATCTGGTCATGGAATAGAGTGTTGGGTAAGAGGAGATTGACCTCCATTCAGATCCAGTCTTCATAGTTCTGTGACCTTGGGCAAGTCATTTAACCATTCTGAACCTTAATTTCATTTTTGTAAAGTTGAGATTATAATTATGATATCTACATTACAGGGTTTTTGTGAGGATCATGTTAGCTAATGTGTGTAGAGCACCTGATACAGAGCCTGACATCTACTAAGCACTTAATACCATCTACTATTATTGATAGGTAGTATTTTAGGGTAGTGGTAAAAAGCATACATTTTAAGGAAAAATTGATTTTATTTTTACTCTCAGTGGCATGACTAACCGTTTATATAATCTCTCTTGGTTTTACTATCCTCAAGTGTAGAAAAATGTGGGAAGAATGATAATGTCCATCTCATAGGACTCTTGTAACAATTGGAAATTGTATTCACATAGTCTCACAAATAGTAAACACACATAATACTACTAATGATATTATTAATATTAGAAGTAGAAGTGATAACATATTGCCTGATACCCTGAGAGGACCATAAAATAGCATGATAAACTAATATAAGTAAATAATAAACAAGCAACAATAATACCACGTGATAAATGTTATAACAGATATGGACTGCTGGAGTGGGGATATGACTAAGTAAGGAGCTGATTTGGCGTAAGGGAATTTGGCTTACGGCTTCATAGAACAGCATTTTATAAGAACTTGAGACTTGGAGTGAGACCAAGGAAGCTGTCCCAGGGAGAGAACAGGACCAAGAAGGAACTGGAACATGGATGTGTCTTACACAAGATCACCTTGGTTGATGGCGGTGAGAGGGACTTTGGAGTTGAATGTTCTGTGGTTTTTCCTGATGCCTCTTTCCAAACCCTGAGCATTTTCTGGCACCCTGGCCTGGAATTGTTCTCAGCCATGAAAAGACATGTGTGTGGTCGGTGTGTTCATCCCGTAGCCACGATAACTGTCAAGGACATTTTCTTTCTGTGCCCCGAGATGCGCAGAAATTTCTAAAGAGCAGTCCCTTCTTTGAGAAAAGCATTTACTGTTTCCGATGGTGATGATAATCAGCTGTTCTGGCAGCTGAAAATTGAGGCATTTTGATGTGCACGTGGAAGAAATGAAGTGCAAACAGGGATTGTGATGAAATATAAACACCTTGCCTCCGGGGATGCTCAGAAACCTGCATTCAGTTTTCTGCCACCAGTGTGAGCAGACGGGTAGCTAAAGCCTAGTTATGGTGTCGCGATTCCAGCTGGTGGAAGGGCCTCCAAGACTACTCCTTGAGGCTGACATCCATAATAGTTATGCCTTAGCGAGTGTCATGGAAAGGCTCCAACTATAAAGCAAAATGTATGTACAGGAACTTCAGTGTGGGTGCCAGCTCATTTTTAGCGGTTTGAGCTAGCAGTTGGTTGCTGAGCACAGGCTGTCGACAGCTTACAGAGTGTGCTTCAGCAGTGCGTGTACTAAGCCAGTTGTTTAGAACTTGGGTGGCCTTTCCCATAGAAAGAGTTTGGGGGTTTCTAGGGCAGCCCAAGAAACCCTACTTAAAGGTTTTTAATATGTGTACTTTTATCCCTGCTGCCTCTGGAAACCTGCCACATGACTCTAAAGCAGAGACAGCAGTTTAGAGGTGGCTTATGGACACACTATCCCCATCTTAGTCCTTGCATTTCTTCATGGTCATGAAGAGTGCAGGAGGTGGGTCTGAGATACTTTTCTGTGGGGGTGGGAATCTTGTAAGAGTGGGGGCAGTCTATCCCAAGAGAAGAAGAGTATTTGAAACCTGAATTTTCTAGAATGTAAACCTTGCAAAAATAGGAATTCCTGCCTGTTTAATTCACTGCTACATACCAATCTGTTGCCCGATGTATATAGGAACTTGAACTCTTGCTGACTAAATTAAGACTTCATACAATTAATTCTCCAGCGCATTGTATTAACACAACTTAAGAAAAATTTACATTTTTCTTAAAAATCCCCACAAGTGGGGACATTAACAAATTCAGATGAATTAAAGGAATATCAAACCTAAACTTTCAAAAGTATATCAGCTTTTACCTTTCTATTCCCTTGCCTTTATTTTTCTTGGCACTTGTACTGCTTTAGACTATAGAATTCCTTATTTAACATCTATAACATCAAATGTGTCTAAGGGTAGAAACCATGGCTCTATTTATGTGCCATATGAAACAGTAGATGACAAAATGATCAATACATTCTTGCTGATGAAATATCTTCATGACTGTCTTTAGACTAATGAAAGATTAAAACACTCAAAATTGAGGATTATCTGTGGGTGTTGTTACTGTTTTATTTTTCCTAAGACTCTAAAAAATTATAGAGGATTTAGTCTGCAACCCAGGAATCACATTGGGGAGAGCTGGGTCATGACAACCTGGAGTTGAGTGTACAGTGATTAGTCCTAATGTCTCTTTCTTTCCAAACCCTGAGAATGGTGAGAGAGAGCCAGATCATGACATTGTGGGACCATTTTTCTTTTTTTGAGAGAATGCGATTTGACTTTTTCAGGTTGAATTGAAAACAGGCCACTCTGGCCTTAGTGGTTTAGAATGATAGGTCTCCCATACTTGGTGCTATCTTGTGGCCCTTGGAATTACATTAATATTTTACTATTAAACAAGCAGTTGCATAGCCAAGGAATTAAAATACACTTTTGCCAGACATTCTTAGAGAACTTTGATCACTCAGTTTGTACTAATGTACACAGTAGTAGGCAGTTATGCTTGGTTGTTTTCTATTGGATATATGTCGTCTTTGTGCTATCCAGCCCATATCATCATAGAAGTGAAGAGCCCTATCGGTGTGGCTCAGTTGGGTGGGTGTCATCCTGTGCACTGGAAGTTGCCTGTATGGTTCCTGGGTGGGGCACAGGCCCAGGTTGTGGGCCACAATCCTCAGTAGGGAGCATGTAGGAGGCAGCTGATGGATGTTTTATTCTTAGATTGATATTTCTCTCTCTGCCTCTCCATTCCTCTTTCTCTAAAAATCAATAAAAATGTTTTTAAAAAAAATAGAAGTGAAGATACAATTTGGTTGGCTGATTAGTTTGTCTAAATATATAGGTTACATAGCCTTTTAAAAGGTTTCTAAACATGAATTATTGTTATGGAAATGCTTCCTGGGGAAGTGTTAATTTGTGTGCACCCATATATTAGAAGGAGGCACAATGCCAGCATCCGGGCAATGGATTCTAAAAGGTGCATCTTGTGTGTGTCCTCATCCTTAGTGAATGTGGAGCCAGGTTCTCTCTATGTTGTCACATGCTTAACTTGGTCCTACAGCTGTATTCCTCATCCACAAATCTCTCTCTTGTCATACAGAAGTCACTTTTCCCACTCTAGGAAACACACATCAAGCATGATGCAGAGAAGGGAGGTGATAACCTAAGGAGGAAACATTGGTTGTGTTTCTAATCAAGTCGGGAATAAGACAAGGATGCCTTGTCCCCTGTACTATTGTTCAACATTGTAGGTGCAAAATCCAAATGACAGAAAAGAAGAAAAATGAGGTATAAAAATTGGGGGAAAGGAGTAAATTTACCACTTTAAAAAAATTTGTGGTCAACTGCCAGGAAAATCCTCTGTAAACTGTGGAAACAGATATTTCACAAGGAAGCTCAGACATTGTTAGATATTAGACTGCATACCAGAAGTAACCAACTAAAATGGAAATTAGGAAACAATCAAGAAACTTTAAAATGTAAAAGGAAGATGTGAGACCTTCATTGAAGGAAACTTTAAAACTTTCCTGAAGGAGGAGAGCAAGGGTTTAGCTAACAGTTCACTCTGAACCCAGAGGAGAATGCTATAAATTCCAGATTTTCTTACAAAGTTACAGGAAACTCATCAGAAGTCCAGGTTTGCAGATATTGGAACTTGATTTATTAGGTTCTGAGCTTAGATTCATAATAACCATGTACTGAGCACCCAGTGTGAGAATAGAATGAGAGTTGATGCCTCAGTTAGTTCACAGCCAAGGAAGCAAATAGTCTTAAGCAATTTGTAATTCTTACATTCTTTTAGACTCTCTTAAAGGGCAATGATTTTTATCTGACATTAACTAGTAAAATTTTCTTTAGAAGCTTGCCTTGCTCAGTCATTCTTCGAGTCTTCAAGCCAAGTAAGTCTCCTCATTTGGGAGGCATAGTGTGCCCATAAAGACTCTAACTACATTCACATGGATGACATTCCCATGGTGATGGGAGAAAGTTATATTGATTTCATTCTGGGATTATTTGTCCGTTAGAATCCATAGGATCTTTCCATCTTGCTCCCTGTTGTATCCTCAGAACCTAGTAAAGTACCAGGAATATTGTGAGGCTTACAGGGGGATGGAAGAATGACTCCATCCCTTCTCCCCAGAATTAGCTTTCCTTCTGTTTAACCGTCTCTGTGAAGATTAGCCCAGATGATCCAAGGCAGAGTATGGACTAGGGTGCTAATGGTAACCTTAGAGATTTTCTCTACTGAAATCCCTTGAGGATTCCAGTTTTGGCTTCTTGGGTAAATAACCCCTGTCTTGCCTATCTCGCTACCTCATTGTGAAAGTCAAAGCAGATAATGGATGTGAAATTGCTTTGCTAACTGCAAAGTTCTCTCTTCGTGGGAGAGATAATTATGTTACAAGAACAGACTATTTATAAGTTAGGAAACACAAGCAAGGATTACAAGCAGAGTTTAGCTTGGAGGAGGGGTTTCTCTCATGCCAGGTTTATATCTCTTCCCTAGTTCCCCAAGCTTAGACCCTGCTCAGACCTAGGACACTCACCCAATTCCCAAGAAGGTTGAGAACTTCGGCAAGCACTTTTTAAAGAACTCATCTGTCAAACT